CTACCCACTGCTACCCTAATTAATATTCGGGGTCTAAAGGATCCAGATTTGAATCTGGACTCAGTCTCATAGCAACCATGGGTGTGGGCAAGTTGCCCACAGGCTCACTCTCACCAAACCCAAAGACCTTGAGTGGCACAGCCAGTGGCACTTCCCACATGAGCCTGCAGCTATGTGTGCTGAGTACTAGGGAACCTCCAGTGATCAAGAGGCCTGCCAGTCAAGCACATATGGTATAATAATGGTAGTAACACCTGGACTCCTGAAGGTAAGCACAGGGACCCTCCCTTCTTCTTTGCTGTAAGAGGTCAAGAAAGTGATTCTGCTTAATGCTCACCTTTTTTGGACCCAATGAGCTATTTTATTTCTAGGCATCCTCAAAATACTTACTACATCTAATAGATGCTCTATAAAACTTTGCAGAGAAGTGGTTGTATGAGACCACGCATGCAAAACAGAGAGGAAAATCACAGAGTGTCAAAAAATATGGGTTTATTTCTGGATTTGCCCTCTCTGGCTTCATGACATTGAACAACTAAACAATTTTCCTGAGCTCTAATGTCCTAAGTTTTTATCTGGGATTCTAATCAGTGTTCAATAGCTGCATGTGGCTGGTTGCTACCATTTTGGACAAAGAAGATATAGAACATTTCCATCACTGTAAAAAGTTCCAAAAGCTGATAGGTAAAACACGGCAAGGAGGATGGTGTGTCTGGCAATGTCATAAAATAGTATTTATGGGAAATATCCAGAGCATAAGCTTCACTGATGATAGAAACATGGCCTCATTAAGTGGAAAAAACATTCAAGTGTTGCTGGATGTACTCCAGTGTCTCTGAGGAATTAGATTAGTGGAGATCCAGACAAACAGCTGAAGCCCTCTTTGCAACCATGTGGGGGTTATCTGGGCCCACAGAATGATCGGAAGGAAGCAGGGAAGGAAGCCTCATGTGGCAATTCCAAAGGCCACTGTGAGGCTTCAAATGGGAAACGGTGGTTTTCAGGTCTTTAAGCTTCTCAGCTGGTCTAAGAAATTGAGCCTTGGGTTGAAGGGGCAAAATAATTGGGTGGCGTTTGGCTCAGAGAAAAGAAGATTAGGAGGAACTGTGTAAGAGAGTATAGCTTTTCCCAACCAGAAGACTTTAGTAGATGATCCTCCCCTCAATTTCAATATATTTCTGTAACATGTTATTTACGTTATTTTTAATAATACCTCTTGGCCAGATTTGGTTTTACCAGCAGTACTGTAAGTTTCTAAAGGCAATAACTATGTCCCTTTTTCCATTCTTCACACCACCACCCACGGTTGCCTTTTAGGAATTGATATTATGCAACAGTGATACATATTCAGTAGAAACCATAGTTCGAATTTTGAATTTGGATCTCTTCCAGGACTGGAGTCGTGTGGTATGATCTTTCCCAGGATGCCGAGCGGCGGCAGTGAGGCTCAGCTCCCACTCAGCCACACTATCACAAGGGTAACCAACCCAAACTCCCAAAACCACTCTGTACCCATACACCATTCCAGTTTTCATTTCCAAGGCAGTATTCAATAAATTATAGAGATATTCAACACTTTACTATTAGCTATGCTTTGTGTTACGTGATTTTTCCCAACTGTAGGCTAGTGGATGTGTTCTGAGCATGTCAAGGTAGGTTGTGCTAAGCATGTGTTCGGTAGGTTAAGGGTATTAAATGGATTTTCAACTGATATTTTCAGCTTACTATGGATCTATCAGGACATAACCCCATCATAAGTCAAGGAAGATCTGTGTCCTTTTCTGTCTAGATTCTTCTATCATGAAGCTGACCACTAGAGATGGCCCATATTTCACTACCATTGGATATGTCTGTGCCAGTCCTGAGCCTTTGAGCTTGCTCGTCTCCAAGAAATAATCATTATTCTCTTCTTGAAGATTGATCAATAAACAAATCTCAGAACTTCTATCCTCTATGAAAGTAATTACCCATCCTGATTACCAACCAACGAGAACTCAAATGACTCCAGAAATTCTCACTAGGTAACTCTGTGCCTTTGGATTTGGGCTTTTCACTGACCCTCTTGTCTCTATATTTCATAATTAGCCTCTTTCTACATTGCCTAACACTGTCATTCCACAATGCTTAGTAAAATTAGTCATTTTATTAATATATTGCTGTATATCCTGAGCTCCACATGAGCAAAGAAATATATCATAAGATAAGGGTCTTATAATCCACAAGATGAGAGGCCAAGAATCCAAGTCAAGGCAAGAGAGAAAGAGACCTCGTTCTAAATTCTCTTCTCTCTCTAGGGGAAGTTGCCTATTTCTTTGTAGTTATAACTGCAGTTCAGATGGTAACCCAACATGCACACATATGAGAAAGAACCTGTTTTAGTTAACTGCCAAATGCTGGGGTAAGTGGTCACTAAACACAATCACTTCCCACTTGGTACTGAGCCCTTTTTAGGAGAAAAATGCTGCCAGAGACTCGGGTATGTGAAGGGCAACCCTATAATCCATCAGTGTCGATGGTTATTGCCAATAGGATGAAGAAGAGGTTGAGTGAAGAACAATTACGTTATTTCTAGAATTGCAGTATTTTCTAGCAAATTGTTAGAGACCGTTTCATCTGTGTAACAATATATATACACTCAGATATTTTCCTTAAATTCTACTTAAAGATAGAACCAAATAAGTTTAGAGCTAGAACTTTGCAATAGTATGGTAAAATCAATTTACTGTTGTTGAGATTGATTGTTAAAAATATTATATCTTCATGAATAATAACATTTAAATATTTAAAATAAATAATATTTAAAATATTTTTCTTTAAAAAACCCACAACCTTTGAGAATGTCTAACTCATTCTAAACAGTCCGGAAAGAGGAAATGTAGTAATTTAACAATGAAAGTTTGGAAGAAACCTATTTGAGCTCAGCTCCTCTCTCTGAAACTTATTAGTGGTTTGGCTCTGTATTATTTTACTTTGTTTACAACTCATTTACCTCATTTTTTGAATGTAAATAATTAAATGTATGGCACCTTCAAGAATAATTGTGATGATGAAATAATACATGAAGAGTTTCTCTGCTCAGCAAAAATTGACTGTCATTATCGTTAATGTTATACGTATCAACATCTAGATGTGATCAATGGCCCAGACACTGGCTCTCACTCATGCTTTCATTTTATACAAATTTTCCAAAATTAAAAGTTTCTGAAGTGCCCTGGTACCCAATTCTAAATCCATCAATGCAATCATTTTACACATTTTTGTTATTGCTGAGGAGGGGAATCACTGCCTGGACACATTCTCTTGAGAGACCCACTCACAGAATAAAATAGCGTTGAGTGTGGATCCTGGTGTCAGATAAGGTGGCTGAACACTCAAACCAACATGCACTATCTCAGTCAGGGCAGACTAATTGCTTAAAGACTGTGGGTTCACTCAGCCTCTCTGAGTCTCTGTTACCCATTTGCAGAGTGTTGAGAATAACTGTGTCATGAGATTTCCATGTTATATGATGGGAATGTAGTAATAAGCACACAAGAAACAGTCGATTCTCTCTTCCCAGGTAGCTGATGTCTGAAAAGCCAGTGAAAATTTGTTTGGGTTGCCTATTGTGGCATTAAAAAAATATTATTCAAAAACTCAGTAGTTTAAGACAATTTATTACTTCCTATAATGATGTGGGTTGACTAGGCAGTTCTGCTTCATAATGTGCCAACTGAGTCACTGGGAGAGCAGGAAGATGCCAGACAGTCTCCCTTGCACAGCTGCCCGTTGGTGCTGGCCTAGACTCAAAGCTCACTGGCAGCTATCGCCCAGGGACTCAGTTCTCTTCTACATAAGCCTCTCCACATGTCTGCTTGGGCTTCCTAACACCGAGGTGACCTTAGGGGAGTCAGACTTCTTACACAGCAACTAGCTTTCAAGAGCATACAAGCAGAAGCCTGCCTTAGGCCTGGAACTGGTAGTGTTACACTGCATTCTGCTGGTTCAAGTGAGCAGAAAGTCAGCCCATGTTCAAAAGAGAGAGGACTTTGCTAAGACATGACTCCTTGGAGGCATGGCTATTTTTCCCCAAGACCCTGAGAAACATCTATTACATCTACCTTAGAAAACTGGGAAAGTTGGGTGCCCCATCCAGCATTAAAGTAACAATGCCTTCATCTTGCCAATGTGGTATGTGCAGTGCTCTTGAGTCCTGTTATTTTCCTCTCAGGTTGCCTGACCTCATCTCTCTTCAGCAGCCTCTGGCTTTGCTGCACACATCAAGTGGGCTGAGGTTGGAAGAAGAAACCCACCAGCCTGTTGCAAATAAATACACATCCCCAATACACATATGATAGGTTTTTGTTTTCAATAAACACAATGGTTTCCTTAAGGAGTAGCTTCTCAGGCCAGCAGACCACCATGTGGGGGCCGTGGAGGGGGAAAGAGGTGGAAAAAACATCCTTATGTCTGAGTGACCGCAGGGTTGAGAGACCCAAGGTGGGAACTTTGAAACTTAGTCCAAAGAGATCACGTTGACTTACAGGGAGAAAAGAAATTGAGAAATAGAAGTAGTTTTTATGGTTCCTGCAGCTTTAACCCAAGCATACACAATTCAAAATCATTGAGAAGAGCAGTAACAGTCTCCCTGGCTCCCACCAGCTCCCTCCTCACTCCACCAGGATGCCTCCAGAGTTGCTCTTTGGTCTTGGCAAGCTCTTTAGAAGGTCCTTGCTAAAAGGAAAACATTGGCAGCAGGAAGGATCTCCTATTAGCTCCCACAAAAATTAACAAACAACAAGGTTCTAAGGGAATGAGCCATAGACCACCAAACAGAGCATTTGGATATTGAAAGAGAAAGAACTGAGCTGAAGGAGAATGCAGAACTGTCCAGGGCAGGGAGGACAGGAAGCCCCTACAGATAGCTATCCCACGGGACCTTCAGATTCTTACCTGTCTGAACTCACATGTAGCCTCAGAATCCTTTTCAATGCAATGACTAAGCACTACTGTGGTCTGGAGCTGGTCCTCAAGGTGAAACATATTTTCCATCCCTGGTAAACAGGTAAGTATTGTCTCTTTCCCCCATGAATGCATGAATATGTAGGGTTCAGAAAGTATCCTCGGAGCACTCTACATGAAGGCTGGTCTTGGTGATCATGCCAATGGTGAATTCAGAGCTGTCAGAAACAATTTAGGGGCTGGGGCTCAGAGAGGGAGACTGACAGGGGAGATCTGGGGCTCGACTATGAGCAGCAGCTCCACCTCATCCTAGGTGTTTTGGGTCAGCCCTGTATACAAAGGGAAGGAATCCATCCCTGTTTTCAGTGTGAAACAGAAATTATAACTGCAAACCAGACCCCAGCTCAGCTATTTACAGCACAAACTCAGTACTCAAAAGTGTCAGGTGAGGTGTTTATGACAACACTGTCCACAGATATAAATGGAAATTACTAAAATTACAGATGACTTGACTATTTAGGGGCAGTTACACACATTTCTAAATCTGAATGATGCCTGGGTAGGTGGAAGCCTTTGACATTCCAGCAGCTCTTCTTAAAACCACATAATATTAAGGATAGTCTGGCCCTGAATATATAAAGCTATAGCATGTGTTGATATTTGTATAGCAGTCAGTGATTCTTAAACAGAATCTCACTTTGTGAGTCTTGGCTTCTCAGGGATTTCAGCATTAGGATATTTCCCCTGGTGAAGTGGCTGCAGCATTTTAGACTAGAACCAGATGTGTATTTGTGGAATTTAGCCTTGCCCACAGGTTACCAAAATAACAAGAAAACCAACCTTTTTCTATGATGAACTACATTTTCTTCCCATCACATTTTTGTAATGCTGGGAATACACGTTTAAATAAAAGGACTCAGCATAGAGTCCTCAAAAAAGATAGCAAAAACTGTAATTCTAGGAAAAAGTTGGCAAGGTTTTCCCCAGAACATACAACAAAAAGAGACATGTGGAATTCACACTTATTCTTACTGTTGCCTAAAAATGATGACTATCAACACTTGATTGCTCTAATTGCTGTTTTCATGGCTCTTATATATCTTTGTTTCCATTAGAAACAAAGGGAGAATGACAAAACCTACAGTTTGATTTCCAAAATGATAAACTGAGACCATGAAAATAAACCTAGCACAAGCTTGTTGTGTTCATGTCAACTCTATGAGCACTTCAGGAAGTTCTGTGAAGTTGCTTGCCAAGGTCTGAAAAAACTTTTAAGAAACAGAGAGAGAAACGGGGCTTGGGGGTTAATGAACAGTGGTTAGAGGGAGCAAGAGGTGAAGAGAGAAGATGTCAACCTGGCCAGCATGTAAGTAGTAAGAAATAGGGAAAGGAGAGACGAACTTCCCCTCTGATGACCTCGTCTTCCTGTGTCAGAGCTTCCTGTTCAAAACACCCAAGTTCCACACAGTTAAATGTAAGTTACAAAATCATCAGTGGAATTAGAAGAAGCTGTAAGTAAATAATCTTGGGATGAGGAAGAACTTTCCAGGTGTAACTCCAAAGGCATGAATATATCATAAAGGAGCCATTTATACATTTCACCTGCCATACATTAAAAACCATAAACAATATAAAGGCAAGTGGCACTTAAGTACCAAAGTGTCATATGAGTGATATACAGGGAACTCTTAAAAATAAATTCAAGGAAAAAGATAAATAGGGGAAACACCAAATAACAAAGACAAGCAATTAACAGAGGAAATTCAAGAGCCCAGCGAACAATGTTCAACATCACTAGCTTCCAAAGAACAAGAGGTTAAAGCAACAAGGCCATTTTTACACTACTAAATGGTAAAAATAAAAAAGATAACAAAGCATTATGAAAGATGCAGAAAGACAGGCCTTCTTAGCCTGCTGGCAGGTGTACAGAGTAACACCAACTTTCAGGAGGACAACTTGACTACATACTGTGAAGGCCTTTTTTTCAAATGTGCATAATTGCTGATTCAAATTTGATATCTAGGAACTCATCTCTAGGAAAATATTAAAGATGTTTTCAAACATTTAGCTAGCAAGATTAAATCCTGACCACATTGTTTATGATAGGGAAGAATACATCACAATATAGATAGCCAGTAATGGGAAATTGGTTGTAGAACATTCTAGAACCTCAGTACAATGGTATATTTTAAAGTAACTTTGCAATAGCCAACCCGCTTTGTTTGCCTATTGTAACCTTCTTCTTCCTGTTCCCTTCTGCCTATTAAAGTTCTTCACTTTGTACAGCTCCTCAGAGCTCCTTTCTATCTGTTAAATTACATGCTGCCCAATTCCAGTTGATTTTTGGTCAAATTAATTCTTTAAAAAAGAGGGGGGGGCCATTAAAATGAATTTGTGGAAAGGTGTTTAATGACATGGAAAGTGTACCTTTTATTAAGTGGAAAAAGCAAAAACGCATTGAGGTATCTGATCCATAATAGGGGCATTATAAATGTAGGCTACTTTATTCAGAGTGATTCTGTATATGAATGCAAAAATAAAATAGATCTATGTAAGTGAAAATACCTGGTTTAGAAACATGGAAGTTTTTAAATTTCTTCTTTTACTAATCTATATTCTCTGAAAATGTCCACAAGCAGTATTTATTGTTTTTAGAGATAGACAGGGGAGGTTTTTAAAAAATGATGTTGACATGGCTAAATTGATTAATTTCTTTATATCTTTCCCATCACCCAGAAGCCTAGTAAATAGGAAATTAAGGTTGGATTCAAACAAGAGGCTTTCCAAGACAGGAGATTTGGTACATTTCTATCAGTACAGTCCTCTAATAAGCGAGTATGTGAGCACTCAGTTTCAATGCTGCAACAGGGCTCCGGTACTGCTTTCCCAGAGGAGTCACAGACCCGCTCCTGGCCGGGTCCCTAACAGAAGCCCCCCAGCCGGAGGGTATTGGGGAAGCTCTTGCGCATGCTCATGCATTTTTCCTGGTCGATGTACAGCGAATTGGCTTTGACTGCCAGCTCATGCTCCAGAGTGGCCTTGGTGTGGACCAGCGACTGCAGGGTGTCCTCCGCCTCCCGCAGGCGCTGCTGCAGGGTCTGGATGGTGTCGTCCACCTCATACACCTCATTAACAAGGCTGTGTGAGGAAAGAAGTGCCAGTCAGGTTAGCAGAAGTCACACCCCCGACCCGGCTGGTTAGCAGCTGAACGGAGCGCATGCGTGGATATTGAATATCGGAGCGTGGCTGCCCAAGTTACACACAGGGCACACCAGTGTCCTAACTACTTCATATTGCCACGCTGAGAAGGAAGAAATACTTGTGCATGGTTCCTGTATCAGATCAGGGCCACTCGCATTAACTATGCCCAGAATACAGTCAGCAAACTAAGCATATTTTGGGGAAAACAGCAAATTTTCACACACACACACTTTACATTACATTAAATATTATATTTTTCTAAAAAGAGAAAACTTTTAAATATCTGATACTTCTTAAAATAGTGAAAATGGGAAACAAATATAAAACCCTAGCTGGACTTCCTTACATGTATTTTATCATTGAAGTTATTTTTATAGTTAGGAAGAGGGGGACATTACTTTATTCAGTGGCTAGAACTCAGCCCAACCTGTCAACATACCCTGGGGGTGGGGGGTGAGGTTTAGTGGGGCACTCCTCAAATTATAACTTCTTTACCCCGACCCCCCTGAGGAATACAAGGTAATGCCTCAAGGTCTCAGAGAAAATATATTTGTAATTGTTGAAAACTTAATAGGACATGAAAATGATAATGGGTGAAATCAGCTACATAAACTGAAATGGCTGTAGTTCTAAATTATGTTGTAATGGTGAAAAAACATGACACATTTTTCATTAAGACAAAGGAAAGAAATTTCATTTCATGGAAAAATTAACATCGCCTCAATTACATTAACCAGCATTGCTTTAATTTTCATTTCTTTTATTATTAGTAAACCTTTCCTAAATGCTTGTTGGCTGTTTTGTATTTCTTCTGTGAATTGCCTCTCTCTGCCTTTTGCTCATTTTTCTATTGGGGTATTGCTGTTTATCTTATTCATTTGCAAAGAGCTCATACAGTATTAGGCAAACTGGGGATTTTTTTTGTCTGCTCTGCGGATGACAAGTATTTTCCCTAATTTGTTTTTTGCCTTTTAATTTTGATTGTGATGTTTTTGTTATTTATTTCAATTTTTAATAAGCCAACGCTTTCTCTTTTTCTTTGTGATTTCTTCCACTCTGTTTATATTTAGAAAGTCTTTTTCTTCCTAAACATCAGTAAAGCAGGGGCTCCTTTTCTCACCGATTTAACCAATAACATCCAAGGGAGATGACCACGTGGTCACTCAAGAGAAAAAATTGAAAAGGACTATAAAAAAGGCAATAATACTAATAATAGCAAGTCATTTATTAACTTATTATATATAATATAGCAAATGTTATGTCCTATATATGTGTTTTATATATATATATAAAACTAAGTACATGATCAGACAATTTAACCCTCATAACAACACTATGAAGTAGACACTCTGATTATCCCCATTTTACAGATGAGGAAACTGAGGGAATTTAGGCAGCTCTCCTTACAGTTTTGCATGGAACAACCCATCAGCTGCTTTTAATCATGATGCTGCTCCCCTGCCTCACTCTGGTCAGTTGAAAGCAACTCCAAATTCATCAAATTTTAACCAGTGATTCAAAGTACAGGTTTTCTTGATTTGGGTGTTCATTTATCAACAAACTGGGGGTGCATGAAATTAATTAAAATATACAGAAACATAAACAGAACAGTGACAGTGCACAAATAGGGATGTGGACATCCCTAGAGATAGAAAGGGATTCTGTAATCACCAAAAACTATACAAACCACATTAAAACCACCGTGCAAAGGCAATGTTATAGCTTCACAGATCCTTGCAACTGGAAATTAAATGTGAGAGGTCATCAGGCCCAGCTTCCTTGTCTTACAGACAAAGAAACTGAGTGGGGTATTAACAAATTGCCTTCTTCATAGGCATTATATGTTTATAATGTTTATAAGCCATATGCAGTTATCTGGGAAGCCAAGAAGGCAATAGGAGCCTCAGTGGCCACATATGGAACTGGGTCCCCTTTCCTACCCCTACCCTCTCAGCTCCCCACGAGAAAAGCGCAAGGGCAGAGACCTGGGAAGTTGGCACCAGCATACTGGACCCCTTTGTGTAAGACCATCTCATTTCTAAATGTAATCCCCATGGTGTAGGGTTGCCAGATAATACACAGGATGCCCATTTGAATTTGAATTTCAGATAAATGTGCAGTTTTTTGTACAAGTCTTTTTTTAATTGTGGACATACATACAACATAGAATTTACCTTCTTAGCCCTCTTTAAGTGCATTAAGTAGTATTTTCACATTTTTGTGCAACCATCACTACCATCCATCCACAGAGCTTTTTTCTTCTTGCAGAACTGAAACTCTGCACCCCTTGGACACTAACTCCCCATCCTCCGCCCTCCAGCCCCTTACGTCACCCTAGGACAGCACAACGACCTGCCAGTGGTGGTCTGCCTAGCACTGCTCCCCAGCCCACCTCAGGGCACAGCCTCCTGCTGGACATGCCTGGAGGTGACCCCAGTGTGCGGCATGGGGCAGATGCACCCACACACCCAGGCCACCTGCATGTCCCACCCAAGCCGATGGTGACGTCATCTTGCAGATGCACAAGCCAAAATCCTCCTGAGTGATGTGACCCACCCTCCCATGCCTCATGCTCCCACATCCCTCATTGGTGACTCTGTTATTCCTGCCTCCCAGGGGGCCTCATCATGCCCACCGCGACCCTCCGCCCTTCACTCCACTCTGCAGGCATGGCCCCCAGTGTGCTCAGCTCAGAACACTCTTGCTCCACTCTAGCTCCTACTAGTTCCTGCCATCCTCAAAGCCCAGCTGAACACACTTATTGGAGGAGTCTCTTCCTTTGCCCTGAGTCTAGGCCACTGCTCGTATCATGTGTCCCAAGAGCACCATCCCTTTTGCAGCCCTCAGGGTGCCTGTCTGGTCCTGACTGCTCTGTCCACCCTGCAGAGCACCAACTCCACAAAAGTACCATCCATTTGGGCCAGCGTTGCTTGGGGCTGTGTCCACAGCCCCTCCTGCAACTGACAGCCATGCAAAGGATATTTTTTGGATGAGGACCAGCTTCCATGTCCTAAGGAAGAAGGTCACCATGGGAGCCAAGGGGCTGTCCAGAGGTCCCAGTGCACAGGGTCTTCCAAGAACCAGCCCCCAGGGGATGAAGAGGAAGCACAGGCCAGAGGGCTCCTGGGGGGATCAACCCCAAGCCACTTGCAGCCAGTCCGAGGCAAAGGCACCACAACGAGCCCCAAAAGGCTCAGAGAAACAACAACACTGTGAAAACACAGCCACGCCGTGTGTTTCCTTCCATCTTAGAACTGTACATTTTCTGAGTTTAGTGGGAGAAGGGATGGAACCCTAACCTCAATGCCAGGGTTTCTTTTGGGCTCAGACTGCTAAACACTAAATCCCAGAATAGATCTGAAAGCATATTTTTATTGTTGCTGCTGTTTAGATCAAGTTGGATTAAAAAGAAAGTCTTTTTGAAGATCTCAGGGTGTAAAATATCACCAGCAAAGAAATACATGTTTGGGGAGGCTACCGCAGCGGGCCAGTGGTGAGATTTAAGATGGCAGGCTGTTTGTGATCCCCCAGGCCTGCTTCGCTGTCCCACCATCCCCAGAGCTGCTCCCCTGGCTGCAGGAGGAGCCTAAGCCCCACCGTAGGAAGCAAGCAGGACGATATGTGCATATTTGCTCTTTGCAGATGAATACCAGTCCAGCGGAAAATTTATCTGAGGGAACTTTTGCAAATATAGATATTAAAATATTAATGTTTAAAAAAACGCAGGAGGCAGCTTCAGGATACACAGAACTACCTTTTCCCATTGCTGCTGAATGAAAGAGGAGAGACTACGCTTCCCTCAGCTATCACCATGAGAAATACATTTTTCATCATCTTTCAAGGCCATGTTTCACTCTGGGTTCTTTTATTCCTGGCAGATCGTTTTTGGGAAATCACAGAACTGAAACATTTTGCATTCAAAAACAAATAAAGCTACCATGGCCTTTGTTTAAAAAATGTGTTAGGATTATTTAAGCAAAGCAGAACCCCATCTGGCCTGTCACCAAGGATGCCAAGAATGTTGAGTTACTTTTGAAAGAACCGTTTAGAAAATGTTAAATGAAAATAAAAGTCTCGAAATGAAAACAGCCGTTTTTCTCGGTCCTCACTCCCATGAGTTTATAGTCTTTGTTTTTTCTTAACCTAAATGGCCAAAGGGTTGCTTTCAGAATGATCTGTTGAATAAGGAAAATAATCCCCTCTCCCAATAATATTCCTAAATTCTGCTGTTGTTACTCAAGGAACATATTTTTGGCAATGATAATTTAATGAGAAATCTTTATAGAAACTAAAGAAGGTTTGTCCTAAAGTCAATAAAGGAGCAGAGGAAATAGATATACTATGGAGTCGACAGGAAGTAAAGGAAAAGCAAATTCTATTTAGTTGTCAATGGGAAAAAAAAGAACAAAAATCATTCAGCTTCTCAGGAGCAGCTGTGAGTGCCTCATTGTTTGATAACACCAAAGTCAAATTAGACCGTTACATAAAACCCTTTTAAAAATCAACCCTGCATTTGTCCAATGGCAGTCTGAACAATTTATCTATCCCCATCTCTACTTCTGATGACTCTGCAGAAATTTTCAGAGAATGAAACTGCAGCTCAGCTTCTTCTAATAATATTACCATAAAGCCACAGCTTCTGATCTAATCCTAACTGGACAAATAAATGGGTATAGACTGGCTGTCCTGGGACTGGCCCAGATGCTGGAGTGGAGGCCTTATTTTATTATCTTAAATAATACAAATTAAAAATATGGGCATTAATTATTGTCCTAAATAAAGAGCTGTCTATGAATAGGGGCTCTATGGAACCCTCTTTGAGAACCATGTGGCCTGGGTGAACTCATATGATTATGGCCCAGATAACAGCTCCATTAGGAGAAATGCAGCCAATCCACCTGCATATGTTCTAAAGCATGCTTCCCAGCATCCAGGGCAGACATGCATGATATACATGTAGGTTGCTTTGCAGTAATGATTGCCTCTGTGACTGTGACCCTCAGTCTCATCCTTAGTGAGATAGAGATGAGAATCCAGTACCAGCTTTGCCAACTTAGCCCAGAGGGGCACTGAGGAGGTGGGATGCGATCAGGCCATGACAGAGGGATGGCAAACACACCTTACAACATAGGAAGTGTGTCTAATTGTTGGTTTGTTTGAATCAAGCTCTGCTCTGAGACAGACCAGGGTCCCAACTGCGGCTCTCCTCCTTGCCACCAGGGGCTAGCTGGGCAAGATCACTCAGCCCACTGATGCCTCAGTTCCCTTATTTGTAACATGAAGAATAATGAATGAGGCAGAGTGCTTAGGACAGTGTCCAAGAAAGTGAGATCAATACATGCCAACAGCTAATTATCACAATCACTGCCAGCCTCTCGGAGGTCTCTGTTTTCTTCCCCTCCAGGAAATCCACCCTTATTTCTTTGGTAGAGCTCAATGCCATTTCATCCCTGGGTTAAATCTCTGACCATGTAAGGGCCCAGGGAGGAGACAAGACTAGGGCATCTCCCCACTGCTCCAGGAAGGATTTGGAGTTTCAGGTGCTGCCCCTTGACTCCCCCAGTGGCTATAAATGCGATTCTCTTCTGCAGAGTGTTCCGTGGCTCAAGAACAGCAGTGATGAGACCCAGACAGACAGGCTGGCAGCTCTTGGGAAACTGGAAATGAAGCCAGTGGGGGAAATCTTGCCCAATTCCTTACCAGCCCCCCTGAAAGGAATCTTCAAAGTTAAAATAATAATAATAAAACATATCTAGAGTTCAGGAGATAAATGTGTCCAATTCCTCCCGCTGTGTATACGTGGTAGATGTGCTGGATGAAGACCAGCTGTTTTCAATTTCTAATGAGAACAGAACAGACTGAAATGTGCCTACATGAGACCATGAGGGGCTTTGGGGGATCTCAAGGATGGTTTTAGTGAGGAGAGCAGGAGTTCATCACCAAGAGACACCAACGAGAGCAAACGGGTGGGAGCAAACGGACAGGGGTCAGCACAATGGGCATGCGAGTCCCTTTTCTGAGGAGTCCCCAGCACTGGGAAACACCCCACAAGCCCAGGCACTCTGCTGCTTACAGGGAGGTGTTCTGGACATTCCAAGGACCCCAGGGAGGTGAAAGGGGCCCAAACACCACATTGGCCCAGCTGGACGAGGCTTAATGTTTATCATCAGTGTTTTTGCACATAGTGTTGATGTCAATTCCCTTTTTCAAAAAATTATGGTAAAGTATATACCACACAAAATTTACCATCTTAGCTATTTTTAAGTGTACAGTTCAGTGGCATCAAGTCCATTCCAGTGTCATGCAACCATCACCATCATCCACTTACATAATTAGCCATCCTTCCAAACCGAAATTCCATGTCCACTCAAAGCAAATCCCCCATCTGTATGCTCCATGTCGCCAGTGTGGTGGCAGAGAGTGCCTTTATAAAGAGCACAGCAGACTGGGGGTGGCCCCAGAGGACGCCCCACGCCCGCCTGTCCCGCCCAGGGCCCGCACTGCCGCCTCACCGTAGCTGAGCCATGTCCCGGCAGAGCTCAATGTTCGGTCTCCTTGTCCGCTCGTCCAGTCTGGTCTGAGCCACCTTCAGGAAGGCAGACTTGTCCCTGATGGCCTTCTTGATGGACTCTATGGTCATTTCAGCCTGGAAAATCTCCTGCAGGGTCTGTGGGAAGAGAAGCAAATGCCTGAGGCTTTAGTGCTATGCCCTCAACAGTCTGCTTCCTGCTCTTGCCTGTCCCTGTGGCCTCTCCTTGCCCTCTGGCATGGGCACATAGATTCTCAGAGATCCTTGTTTCCAGCCCGTCCCCAGGGAATCTTCACGTGGCGCTGCAGCTGCTCACACTCCCTGACCATGGGTATCTCTTCCCAACTCCAGACAAAAATCCCTGGGTAGGAGCATTTACACCACAGAAATGGGCCTACTATAAATGGGAGCTTGCTTGCTTTTTCTTCTCCCGTCCACCAGTTTGTGAACATTTACCAGCACACATTCACGTGCAACTCTGAGAAAAGTGAGGCCATGAGGGCTGAGTGGTCCTTACTTCCCTCCTCATGCCAATGTGTCTGGCCTCTTTATCTCCCCAGTGCCTCTCCTTATAGAGATGTTTTCCTGCTAGTAGAGGATTTGAAGCAAATCAAATTCAAATTTCAGGGTGTCTCACTTGAAAGGGAGGAGCTCTAGAAGTTTTGTAGTCCTGGTTTTATGTTACTTTTCCTTAAAGAGAAGGCCCCCCCCACCAGTGGCATAGACCTGGATCCCTCCCTAGTTCCTCCTTCATAAAACAAGCCCCCCAAAATTCTTCCTTCCTTCTGCTACTGTGACCTCTGCACACCAGTTTCTCCAATGTCCACCCACCCTCAGCAGCCTCCTCCTTCCCCTCAGCCACCTGCCTGTGGCCTGGAGACCCCCAAATTCCCTTGAAGCCTCACGCCCACCACCACTCTCTCATGCAGGCCCACCTACACCCAGTCCATGCTCCTCCACCCCTCTCCTCATGCCCACTGCCAGGTGCACTCAACATGGCCTCGCTCATGCTCCACTTTCGCCCACCCAGTCTCACGGCAGCCCCCGTGTCCTGTCTCCGGCCTGCATGGGCCTCGTGAAACTGCGCTCTCAAAGCCTACGACAGCACCTCCCGACGCCTCGCTCTACTCAAAGCCCTCACCCTGCCTATCTGGGGCCGACTGCTGTCCTGATTCCTTGCCTTTCTCTCATCACTTCCAGTACCAGGCTCTGTCTCAGACCACTTCTGGGCTACACCCTTTCTCTGTAGGTCCATCCCCTGCAGAGCTCGCATGTAATCACACAGATTCTGCACTTGCAAGCCAGGAACTCTTCAATCTGCCACTGAAGCTTTGACCTCTTGAAAATCGTCACACTGTTCCTATCACCAAGGCTACCCCGATGGGCTCCCTGGTCCCCAAAGCCATCCCTAGCTCTCTCCTCAGTATTGGAAGTAACTGCTCCTTCAGTGTAACAAACTTAGCTGCAGCTCCAACCGGTTCTTTCTGCACCTTTCTGATGGAACCTATCATTTTCTAAGTCTTGTCTCACTCTAAGGTATGCGATGACAGGGACAGTGTGGCCTATACTCCAAGAGTTGAGCACGGGGTATAGCTGTTATGGGCTGAATTCTATCCTCCTTCCCACTCAAAAAAAAAAAAAATCACATGTTAAAGTCCTAACCCGCACTAGCTCAAAATATAACTGCATTTGGAGATAGAGCCTTAAAGAGGAAATTAATGTAAAAGAAGGCTGTGAGGGTGGGCCCTAACCCAATCTGACTGGTGTCCTTATAAGAGGAGGAGATTAGAGCACAGACACACCTGGAGAGACCACGTGAGGCCATAAGGGGAAGGTGGCCGTTTGCAGCCATGGAGAAAAACCTCAGAAGGCACCAGTCCTGTTGACACCTTGATCTTAGACTTTCAGGCTACAGAACCGTGAAACAATTTCTGTTGTTTAAGCCACCCGGTCTCTAGCGCTCTGCTATGGCAGCCCAAGCAGGCTGACACAGTACATGGCACCCCGTTGAACAAAGACCGATCCCGTGAGCCTTCTGGAAGCCTTCAGAATGGCTTCTCACTGCGCCAAGGATCCCTTCTCTTCAGTGTCCCCTGAAATCAGGCTCCACCCACCTCTGCAGCCTTCCCTCCCGGGACACTCACCGTCCAGGCCAGCCAACCCCGTCTCTCTGCAGCCCTGAACGCTACCTCAGACTGCCCACCTCCTGAGCTTTGTTCAAGGTGTTGGCCCTCCTGAATGCTCACTTCCTTCTCCAAGTCCCCAAAACACCTTCTGCAGGTGTTGTTCAATGACCACAGTCTGTAATTTTCTGTTGTTATTGACCCTGAGCTTTCATATGCATGCCTCTCTTCTCCACAAATATAAGCTTCCTTGGAACAAAGACTGCATTTTATACTTCTCTCTGCCCTTCACAGAACGTAGCATGCTGTCTGGCTCTACAAATATTTGCTGCCCTGAAGACACCATGAGGAGGAAAGGTAAATTGCTGCCCCCTTGGAAAACACGGTGCCTTCAATTGGATAATGGATAACATCACCTATATGGCCAATGGCATGAGGTTCTTTAATAAAAAAATGAAAAACTATATTCGGCATAATCCACAAAAATAATAAGAGCCCCAAGACTGGTACTAAATAAAGGAAGAGCTCCCTATTTATCTTGAAACTTTCGAATTCTGCCTGAAATCCTTCATTTTATTGTCATTGTAAAATGTTTATACTTAGAGCACTTTAAAAAGTTCAATATCAAAAACACTTTGAATCACCTAATAGTTTCCTGTATTTGGTTTTATATTCCAGAAAAGGGGCCTGAAATAATTTAACAGAAAACATTCCTACCATATGTTCTAATAATAAGCTCACTTCCTAGTTACATGCAGTGATTCATTAAACTTTAATAATAATATTTTTGTTTCTACAAAATACTAGGAGCCTTTCAGGGCATAGTGCACTCTTTGTTTCTCAAAAACCAGTAGATTCCAATTTCATTTTGACACCTGGCTACCTGGCTAAAATAAATGGTGTGCTTTGTACTGTTTTTAATTTTCCTTAGTCTTCATGGCCAGGAGGTCATGCATTTTATGTCATCTCGCTGAAAGTGTTGAGAGATTCATGGTCCTGGAGCCCCCTGCTCTATCTGTCCAGGTCAGCCAAGGTGCTCGATTTACCTTTGCTAAGTGAATCTGAATCTTATTTTTAGCATCTGCAGTCTCAGCAATGCGATTGGTGAAAGCCAAGTTCACTTTGTTGAACTGATTCCACATCTCATTGGTGGTCACCACCAGGAGGTTCTGAATGTCGTCTCTCAGCTTGGTAGAGGCTGCTCGTTCGCTCTGGGAGCGGAGAATATTGTCATCTGTAAATCTGGCCCAGGACTCGGGCACTGAGATCCTGAAAAAAGGAAGTAGAGCCATATCATGGAGACAACCATGAATCAGCATAGGCGGTCTGTAGGCATCACTCATCATGCAGAAGAGAACACCCCAAATCCTTTGATCCTGGTTTTATTGCATAAAATAAAAACAGCAGGGCAAAGTTTATTTAAAACTTTTTCTTAATTGCTCCTTCTTTCACTAGCTGTTTTCTGTAAATCAGGAGCATAAACTAAGTCTTCTGCCACATAGTGTTGTGGGGGAAACGCTTGATGAAGGGTCTGGTTATGTTAATTCCTTATAAATGTGTCACACCAGTCTGATAAGCATATGAAAAATTATTGAACCTCACTCACAAGCAAGCAAAGGAGTGCTAATGAAAACAACATACCAATAAGCCTTTATCAGCCTAGCAGAGAGTGAAGAGAATAATAGTTTTCTGGTAAGCATGTTTAGAAAAAGACCCTGTCATATCCTGTGGGTAGAAATGTTGCTCTGGTACCACCATGATGATAGGCAGCATAAACCAAGAGCCTTTCAAATGTGTATAACCCAGAAATTTCACTTCTGGAAATTTTTTAATCAAGATATAATTGACATATAATATTGTATTATTTCAGGTAAGTGTACAACGTGATGATTCGGTTTGTGAAATGACCACAGTGAGTCCAGTTAACATCCATCATCAAACATTGTCACAAATTTTTTTTTCTCGTGCTAAGAACTTTTAAGATCTACTCTCTTAGCAACTTTGAAATATATGCTACAGTATTGTTAACTATCATCACCCTGCTGCACATGATGACCCCTCCAGGACTGAAAATGCAGAATGCTTCACAATTTGTGGTCATCCTTGCACAGGGGCTGTGCTAACCTCTGTATCATTCCCATGTTACTTTGTGCTGCTGGAATGAGCACTGTAGAACTTTATCGTAAGGATATAATGTGCTCAGGGATGTATATGTCAGGATATTCATTTTCAGCAATATCTAAGCCAATCTCTGAAAAACTGGAAACACCCCAAATGTCCAAAATTAAAGAAAAACTTGAGTAAATTATGGAACACCTTTAAAAGGAATTCACAGGGCATGCAAACTCATGTTGTAGAATATTTTCTCAATGTTTTTGATATATCATAGAGTGAAAATCAGACAGACCATATAAACAGTACATAATGCCATTTCTTAAAAATATAAGTCTACGTCTACATGCATGGAAGCATATTAGAGGGTAATTTGTTAACATTGGGCATCTCTTGGGTGTTAGGCTTATGGGTAACATTTCTTTGCTTGTTGAGGTAATAGGATATCAAATGAGGCTCTGGCTATCAACTAGAGATTTTACCTCAAGCCAAGATGACCCAAAATAGCATCCTACATGTTCCATACTGTAAGAGATGGCTAAGAGTTCATGCTAGAAGTAGACGAGACCCTTTATGGAGTGCTAAGTGCTCAGAATGTGTGGTTCTACTCCAGCGACCTCCTACTCCAGAAGGAGAGAAAGATGCTTCCTGCTCACCTCAGGCAGGTAAGAGGCATTTCATAGGGACCACTTAGGCCACAGGGGCTAGATCCTGTCACAGGAGCACCAAAAGAGGGGGCTGCTTTGGGGATGACCAGCCCCACAGGAAAGAATCCATTCGGGGGTCACCTTAGAAAGGGTTTGGGGCATGAGTGTGGGAAGGAACACAGCAGAACTTTCTGGGTGATGAAAATATTATTTATCTCAACTGTGGTCATGGTTACATAGATATTGAAATGGTCAAAACTCATCAAAATGTACACTTACACCAAATGCATTTTAGTGTAGGTGAATTTCAACTCAATCACGTTGATTTTTTTTTTTTAAGGGAATGGCTGGATAAGACCATGAACCCAAGATTTCATCCAGGAGCCTGGCAAAAACGCCACTGGCAGAGCAAGTTTAACAAGCAGTGGTCATAAAGCCCTGAAGCTGGTTTTCAGCTTGTACCCCTCTGAGCCCGGCATACAAGGCCTGGCAACACTTGATTTTCTTATACTTTGTTGTGTTTCCTAGGTGTTCTGCATCAAGCAGGCATTACTGTCATAGTTAGAAACATACACAGTGCATATTCTCTTAAGAAAGCGGGATGACGGGTCAGGGCCTGCGGGAGGAACGTGGGGACTCAGTGAGGACTTGTCAAAAGCGGGATGCACGTTTTACCTTCCCACATCACCCCACATTGTCCGATTCAACCCTGAAGCAGCATCATTTCGAAAGGAGAGAGAATGAATTAAATGACATCAAAACCATACAAGGCATGCCTAACTTACGTGGCATCCACCCTCTCCACCCCACGGAAGTAGCTGGCACCGTCCGACGTGTTCCTCAGATGGTGGCATTTATCATCAATCCGGTACGCTGCCTGTTTGTCACTCAGGTCCTTCTCCAGCTCGTGCTGGGAAGCTCTGTTGGCCCTACAACACACGGTGGGGAGACCGAGCCTCCCAGTTAGGTAAGGATTTCCTAGTGACAAGAGTTAACTACCCCTCCAGGTTGGGACCCACCCGTCCTGCTCCCTGGGCCTCTCCTTCTCCACGCAGCGTCCAACTTCTCAGTTACAAGGAGCCTTCCCTGGAGATGTCCGTGCATGCAAGCAATCGGAACCCTGCCTAACTGTCCCTTCCATGGGGCAGGGCTGGCATCTGGCATCCCAGGGCTGATGTCCATCTTCCAAGACACAAACTATTCCAGACAGAACACTGGTTTAAAGCAATGTCCCCCTTTTTGCTTCCCTTTCCTTCTTTCTTTGCCCCTCCTATGTCCTAAGCCCTTTCTCCAACATGCCTTGAATGCAATTCCCTGAAGTCATGAGGCATTTATAACTTATCTCCCTCCCCTATAGGTCAACCTCAGTTTTTGGTCATGCTTGGCCTGAGAACTTTGCCAGAAGATAAAAACCAAGGGTCAAAATTAACTTCCAGGGTGTGAGCCACAGTGCTTGAAAAGATTAGGAATTGGTGCCCCCCCCAACCCCCAGGCTCATGTGCCCCAGCAGCCCCCTCCTGGGAAGGAAGGGGCCTTGGGGACCTCTGAGATACATGTATTCCTTGCTCTAGGGGCCAGCCAGAGAGAAGACCCAGATGCTCACTACCAAAGAGACAGGCCCATCGGGCAGGCACAGGTCACAATCAAGCTGCATTTTTACTCAGGGAGCAATAAATTCAACAAATAGTGTCTGGCATGTGCCAGGCACTGTTCTACAAGGCCAGAGTAGATCAGTGGACAAAGCAAACATCTCTCCCCTGAAGGAGTTACATGCTACTGGAAGGAGACAGGCAATACCCATGGTGAATAAGCAAATCACGTGGTTCATTGGCAGAGTGATGCAGAAAACCCAGTAGGATTTTAATAGGCTGGTCAGGGTGGGACTCCTTGAGGAGGTGATGTTTGAGCAAAGGCTTGCAGCAGAGAGCCAGCCCATGGCAGCTCTTACTAGGCATTGGAAGGAGTCAGGTTTTCCTCTGAGTGAAATAAGAGACCATTCGTTTACAATTTTAAAGAATCATTCTGGTGCTGGGTTGCGACCAGACTGCAGGGGAAGGGGAGACCCAAGAGCAGATGCAGTTACCAGCTGAGACATGATGGTGGCTTAGACTAAGGGGGCAGAGGTGAAGGAGGTGAGAAGCGCTCAGATTCTGCATATATCTTAACAAAAGAACCAGGGGACTCTCCCAGGATACTGAGCATCAGTGAGAAAAAAGCTGAAGCTGAGCAGCTGGAACATCAGCATCCCATCAGCTGGGTGGGTGAGGGTGGTGGGAAGTGGGCTGGGGAGAAGACAGAAGATACCCTTGAATGCTCACTAAACATCCAAGTGGAGATACAACATAGATTGTTGGAACTTGGGAGAAAGGTCTTGGATAGAAATAAAAATTGGGAGATCATTAGCATATAACAGTATTTGGCAAAGCAGACAACTGGGTGACCTTAATCATTTGTGTATTCCTCGCATCCAAAATGGGGCTTGGTGTACAGGAGCCACTAGGCAAAACCTGTGCTGAACTAACAGACCTCCTCTAGCGGAGGCTTCCCTTTACCTCAGCCTGTGCCTTCGGACTTGTCGCTGGACCATCAGAGCTCATTTTTTTTATTTGTAAAGTGGAAATGAGGGTAGCAGCAAGCAATTCATCTGCATTTTGTGAATTTTGAAGCAGCGCACATGTGCAAAGGATGGACGATGAGAAAGCAGCCTCACCACACGATGGCCGTGTTCAGTCTCTTGACTCGGGTTATCGTGTTGGAACTCTGGGATTAAGAGGCCTTTCTCGTTTGTGGGCTGGGACCAAGATGCCCCACAGGCCTCGTCTCCTGGACTAACACCCTTGGTCTCCTCTGACCTGACCTCAGACTCCCCTCTAGGAAGAGCCTGAGGTAGTAGCATCCCGTTGGCCTGGCTTGTAGCCCAAGATGGGAAAAATCTTGGCTGCCATGCTGGTGCCTAACGGGATGGCACTTTCAGCTGAGACCCAGACTGAGACCTTCATCATTCCTTCCAAAGCAAATGGAGCTGAAAATCCCTCCTTCCATCGCCTTGGCTGGGCCAAGGCCAGCACCACATTAGGGATCCAGGCCCCCCCCAAATCCTGGAGAAGCCATCCCCAGAAATGAGGGAGGTACTTTGCCTACTTCAAAGGGTCGCCAACAAAGACTCCAAACAAGCCCACATGCAGACAGAGCCATCCACAAAGGCCTACACAGGGCCAGCAGGGAAGCGGCCTGCGATGGGCATTGCTGTGACAATGTAGCTGTCCCAGCATGGCACAATCCAGGCCGAGAAACAAGAAACATGGAAGATGGGTGCAGATTTTCAATTATAAAGGAAAAGAAGGATTAGGCACTGGACCAGAAGAAAACAGACAGGTACAATTCTTGAAACTACACTCAACTGTTTCTGTGATTCCTAAGGAGCGGGAACCAGCAGGTAATGTCAGAACTGGACTGCTTGTGTTTATAGCTCAAGTAGACCATGTAGTTAACCCAGCCACAGTCACCCCTAACTAATCTGTTACCTGTCCTTACCAATTTCTGAATTAAAGAATCCCTCCAACACAACTTGAGAGAGATCTCAGCTATCCAAACCTTGCCGACCTTCATGGCATCAGCCCTGGTGGGCAGGATGGGAAGCTAAGCTGGCAGTCCTCAGATCTCCATGGCAGTTCCTCCTTTGGACATAACACACGGTATCCTCAACACGAGTATCAGCAGAATCGTTTCTTTGAGTGACATCTTCGACACCAGTTCCTTCCATGGCCTTAACCAAATGAACACTGATCTTCCTGTCCACGCTAGGCAACAGGCCCGGCCTATACATTTCTATGCTGACAGCTACTGTCATTGCTTATGACTTTCCTTGGATTATGATTCTCCACCCTACCCCACCACCACCAATCCCCACCATAACTATTAAGTACCTACTTTCCACTCTTGCCAGAAAAGAGGGACTTGTGTTCTGGCGTGGAGTAGGAGGGATGAGCAACGGAATGTGGTGAGCACTGCAATGGTGTGATCAGAGCACCAAGGGGCATGCGCCAGGGCCACCGAGAAATCGAGGAAGGCTGAGTCTTTAAGGAGGTGTGGAAAATAGCCACTAAAGTGAGCTACAATTTATTACTTTTCCCAACAGTTGGGATGAACATGTATAAGTTAATCTCCTATCAAAGAATAAAAGTCTTCTGAATTTAAAAAAGATCTTAGCCGTACTCCAAGTCAGGGCAGAAGTCCTTTCTATGTTACACATCTCAAAATTATTTCTTTAAATAAAAATTCAGAGCAAGTACTCATCTTGATCTCTGAATAAAAACTGTGTGTGTGTGTGTGTGTGTGTGTACGCACGTGCTCATATACAAGAAATCCTCATATGAGAAGCTAAGAGAAATCTGAATGGGAGGCATGAAAGTAGATTTTCATGATAGATCTTAAATTATATAGAGAGGTAAAACTCTTACGCAAGTTGGGCAATGGCCTTATCCAAATGTAGCTTCATCCTTTCTTGACAACACAGAATGATGTCAACTTCCTACTCAATTGAAAAAAAAAACACATTAATGTTTTCATTTTTGAGTATAACATTCAAAGTCTACAATGTAATATTGTAGGGAAGGAAAACTTTGTGGGGAAATTGTGAAGTAAAACAAGAAGACAATTTTACATCCACTTATTTACCTACATGCCCCCAACATATTTCAATCTAAATATTAGACTGAGATTCACCCTTTACAGGGCTATAGGGAAATTATATTATGGGACAAGATGGGATAGAGGTAAAAATTCAGAGTTTTTCTTATTTTTAATCTCTGGCCCTTAATTAAAACAATACATACATACATAAAATTCTGGTGATGTGCAAGGTTGAACTTAATACATGGCTTCTTCTATACTATTTTTCCAAGATAGAGGAAATCGGGGCTGGATAGAGGGCAGCCACCAAGAAACTTCTCTCTGGCAGTGCACATAACCTCCAACAGACCCAGTTCTTTGGTCCACATGGAGGCTGACTTCCACAGTGGCAGGCCAGTGTGGCCTTTGATCTGCCTGTGCCCCGCAGCTCAGCTCCTATGCTCACTAACCAGCTGCTCTACTTGGCCACACTCGGTGCTTTGTGCTGTTAGGATGTATATACACGATCACATAACGTGTGTCATATCTGGGATATTTTAATGAACACCTAGTTTCCTCTGACATTAGAGGGAAGATCTAATATTAGAAAATCTAGAAACTTAAAATAGCACCAGGAAAAGTTTTAAAAGTGCATATAATCATTGTTACCAGTTTTCCCAGAGAAGAATGATGATCCTATATGCACTGCTTCGTGGCCTGCTTTTTCATTTTAACATGAACATTTTCCCATGACATTCAGCAATACCTCAATAAATACTTAGACACTACTAAATACTTAGATACTGTATGCCTTTTTTCAAGGTTTTGACAAGTACAGCCAAAATACCCTTCAGAAAAATTATATCCATTTACAACAGATGAATGTGTATTTCTTCACCTCTCACACGAACTGGCCATTATCAGATCCTCTTAATCTTTGCCGATGTGTTAAGACTCTTCCCCCTAAACAGCACACCTGCTTGAATCTGCAGGTTAATATTGTAAATGTGCATTTGTTCATCATTTGACTTTCTTCCTTTGTGAACTGCATATTCACACGCTTGTCCACTTTTTCTGTTTTTTCTTATTAATTTATAAGGGTTTCTTATTAATTTATATTTAAAATTCAAATCTATTCCCATCATATCTATATAGGTGTGTGTCAGAAATACATATGTGTCATAAATTATATATTTTTTAACCAGTTCGGCCCTTGCCTTTATATTTTGTGTGTGGCGTTTTTGATACACAGACCTGTAATTTCTATGATGTCAAATCTATCAAACATCCCCTTTTAGTTTCTGCCTTCATTAATTGATTAGAAAGGCCCTCTTTATTCCCATATTAATTTTTACTCAAGTATTTAGTGTTCTTATTCTTTTATTCTTTAACATAAAAATATTGAATATGCCTAGCGTTTACATTGGTAATCACCCAAATGACTGGTTCTTCAATACTGTGAATTAATGGAGTAAATTAAAAATGAAATTCCCACCACAGCCTGTTATCAAGTCCACCTTCCCTCAAAGGGAGCAGAGATTCTCACACATTCTCACAGCCAGGTGCACATCAGTCTTCATGTTTCATGTTGTTCAATCTTCATCTTTCGCTATGTCTTGTTATGTGTGTATGTGTGTGTGTGTGTGAGTGTGTGTGTGTGTGTGTGTGTGTGTGTGTAGTTACTCCACTGAGGTGTTGGCAAAGGAGGCATGGAGTATACTGCTTAGAAAACATCACTTAAAACCCATATCCTAGTGAGCTTTTATGTCATGTGTACTCAATGCACATAGTGGGAATTCCTAGGACTTTTGGTGGAAAAAATTGTGTTTAATGAGACTTGTGCTGTAAGAAAATTATTCAACAATAATTATTATATTTGAATTTAAATAATGTCATATGGTGAATGTCAGATGGCGGGGAGCAGAAGGGTTCATGGTAACAGGGAATGCTAAAAACAAAGACCTCTGTAATTGTCCCCATTGTTAACTTACTAACCCATACTTGCAGTTTCATTTGGCTTCAAAGTCCAGGGAGTCACCCTGGTCTGGGAGGACCAAGAATATGGTACCCCAAATAACTCCCCAAGAGAAGCTATTCTGGAGGAATATGGTGAATACCACTGAGTGTAACAGTCAACAGAATTCATGAGAGAATATTTTATTACACACACATTTTTCAAAAATAGGCCTTTTAAGGCTACTTTTCTTTCCTAATGTTCATTGATTGTAAAAATTAGACTCATGCAGGTTAAAATATGTGTGTGTGTATATCACACACACACTAACATCCCTACCTTGAGCAAGCTCCAGGATTTTCTCACTACTTGAATTAATTGGCAGTGACCAAGGTATCCTTCGGCTGATGAACTACTACTGTAATGCAGATTCAGTCATTTTGACATAAAACAGCCTCTGCTACTGACCTAGAAAATGTTAACCTCTAAGGCAATTGTTCTTCTTTCATTTTTTTATTATTAATAATTGTATTTATTATTACTACAATTATGTAATTATTATCTATAATTATATTGATATACAATCTTATGAAGGTTTCACATGAACAATATTGTGGTTACTACATTCCCCCTATTATCAAGTCCCCACCACACACCCCATTATAGTCACTGCCCATCAGCGTAGTAAGATGTGATACAATCACTGCTTGTCTTCTCTGTGCTATACTGCCTTCCCTGTGTCCCCCATACACACATTATGTGTGCTAATCATAATGCCCCTTTTTCCCCCTTATCCCTCCCTTCCCACCCACCCTCTCCAGTCCCTTTCCCTTTAGTAGCTGTTAGTCCATTCTTGGGTTCTGTGAGTCTGCTGCTGTTTTGTTCCTTCACTTTTTGCTTTACTGTTATACTCCACAGCTGAGTGAAATCATTTGGTACTTGTCTTTCTCCGCCTGGCTTATTTCACTGAGCATAATACCTTCTAGCTTCATCCATGTTGTTGCAAATGATAGGATTCATTTTCTTCTTATGACTGAATAATATTCCATTGTGTATATGTACCACATCTTCTTTATCCATTCATCTACTGATGCTTAAGTTGCTTCCATTTCTTGGCTACTGTAATAAACATATGGGTGCATATGTCTTTTTGAATCGGTGATCCTATTTTCTTTGGGAAAATTCCTAGGAGTAGAATCCCTAAGTCAAATGGTATTTCTATTTTCAGTTGTTTGAGGGACCTCCATATTGCTTTCCACAATGGTGGAACTAATTTACATTCCCACCAGCAGTGTAAGAGGGTTCCCCTTTCTCCACATCCTTGCCAGCATTTGTTGTTGTTTGTCTTTTGGATGTTGGCCATCCTAGCTGGTGTGAGATGATATCTCATTGTGGTTTTAATTTGCATTTCTCTGATGATTAGCAGTGTGGAGCATCTTTTCATGTGCCTATGGGCCATCTGAATTTCTTCTTTGGAGAAGTGTCTGTTCAGATCCTCTGCTCATTTTTTAATTGGATTATTTACTTTTTGGTCGTGTTGAGGTGTGTGAGATCTTTATATATTTTGGATGTCAACCCCTTATCAGATATATCATTTATGAATATATTCTCCCATACTGTAGAATGCCTTTTTTTTCTATTGATGGTGTCCTTTGCTGTACAGAAACTCTTTAGTTTGATATAGTCCCACTTGTTCATTTTTGCTTTTGTTTCCCTTGCCCAGGGAGATAAGTTCATGAAAAAGTTGCTCATGTTTATATTCAAGAGAGTTTTGCCTATGTTTTCTTCCAAGAGCTTTATGTTTCATGACTTACATTCAGATCTTTGATCCATTTGAAGTTTACTTTTGTGTATGGAGTTAGACAGTAATCCAGTGTCATTCTCTTACATGTAGCTGTCCAGTTTTCCCAACACCAGATGTGGAAGAGGCTGTCATTTCCCCATTGTATGTCCATGGCTCCTTTATCATATATTAATTGGCCATATATGTGAGGGTTTATATCTGGGCTCTCTATTCTGTTTTTGATCCATGGGTCTGTTCTTGTGTCAGTACCAAATTGTCTTGATTACTGTGGCTTTGTAGTAGAGCTTGAAGTTGGGGAGTGTAATTCCCCTGCTTTATTCTTCCTTCTCAGGATTGCTTTGGCTATTCAGGGTCTTTTGTGGTTCCATATGAATTTTAGAACTATTTGTTTCAGTTTATTGAAGAAAACTGCTGGTATTTTGAGAGGGATTGCATTGAATCTGTAGATCACTTTAGGCAGGGTGGCCATTTTGACAATATTAATTCTTTCTGTCCATGAGCACATAGTGTGTTTCCATTTATTGGTGTCTTCTTTAGTTTCTCTTATAAATATCTTATAGTTTTCAGAGTATAGGTCTTTCACGTCCTTGATTAGGTTATTCCTAGGTATTTTATTCTTTTTGATGCAATTGTGAATGGAATTGTTTTTCTGATTTCTCTTTCTGCTAGTTCATTGTTAGTGTATAGGAATACAACAGATTTCTGTGTATTAATTTTGTATCCTGCAACTTTGCTGAATTCAGATATTAGTCCTTATAGTTTTGGAGTGAAGATTTTAGGGTTTCTTATGTACAATATCATGCCATCTTCAAACAGTGACAATTTAATTTCTTCCTTACCAATCTGGATGTCTTTTATCTCTTTGTGTTGTCTGATTGCTGTGGCTAGGACCTCCAGTATTATGTTGAATAAAAGTGGGGAGAGTGGGCATCCTTGTCTTATTCCCAATCTTAGAGGAAAAGCTTCCAGCTTTTCACTGTTAAGTATGATATTGGCTGTGGGTTTGTCATATGTGGCCTTTATTATGTTGAGGTACTTGCCCTCTATACCCATTTTGTTGAGAGTTTTTATCATGAATGGATGTTGAATTTTGTCAAATGCTTTTTCAGCATCTATGGAGATGATCATGTGATTTTTGTCCTTCTTTTTGTTGATGTAATAG